TGTTTTGAACATAACATTTTGAAATGGGGACAAGAGATGAAATGTGAAGCTGAAATCAGTGCACACTCGTCTCTAATCCACTTAATAGCTTCTTTACAATTAATATTCATTGCAGGTCAGAATCCAATTATTCAGCAAAAAGCAGCATGAGATCACCTTCTAACATCTCTCCAGCTCCTTTAGGGTAGGTGAAAAGGGCTTTCCGTGGTGGGGCAAGGTCTGAGACACTGAAACCAGATCCTGTGACAGAACTTCCACTGACCCCACCAGCTGAGGAGGATGATGAAGAGGCAGCCATTTCCTCTCTAGCAGAATTCTCACTTCACTACAGAGAAAGAAAAACAGCAATTGGCAAGTTTATGGAAGTGAGATTGACGACATTTCATTCTAGGTGCCATAAAAGCCAGCATATAGTTTAGTATTAGCTCCCCTTTTTTCTATCCTTTCTACTTCTGCAATCTTTTACTAATGCCTCAGGCCAAAATCTCAGGATTTTTAGTGAAAATATGTTTATTCTGTTTTTCTACTTAAAACACTACTTCCTACCATCAGCAAACTGTTTATATCGCCTGGAATCGACTGTGAGTGATTTATGGGTTATGGAGGGGTGATATGGCAGTGCCAAGATAGCAATTTGACTGAGGAAATAAATTATACGAGGATAAAACAACAAGCCTCATAGGACAGTTTGTCTTGGCTACGTCCTGACCAAGCCACACCAAAAAATTCACTTATAAAATTTTCCAAATAAAATTCCAGAATAACACTGTGTTCTGTTCTCAAGGAAAGGGAATTGGTTAGGAAATACATATTTGCCCTTTCATTAAAAATGTTTTAAAAACTTTTTCATCCAAATGTAATACCCAAATTGGTCACTTGGTGGCATCCCCAAATCAGAACAAAGTAGCTCACGAAACGGATAGCTGAATTCACCATCTATGATGAATACAGCAGCTGTGTTTAAACCCTATGTCATATCAAAAAAATCAGAAAGCCTACATGTAAATGAGAAAATCTGTACTGAATACACGATTCCTTACAGAAGTTCAAAACAAAAATACTACTTTTGCCACTGAAGCTTATATTACATGTTTACTTAAGATTCTAAAACAATGTACGTTTTCTAAAAAGAATGGTGAGCATTATGTCAGAATTTTCTGCCATGATGGAGATGTTCTAATATTCTATTTCTGTGCTGTGAAATATGATAGCCATCAACCTTCTGTGGCTATTAAAATAGTGTGACTGAAGAAATGTATTTTAATTTAATTAAAAAAAATTTTAAGTAATCTCTACACCAAATGTGGGGCTTGAACTCACAACTGCAACATCAAGAGTCACATGCTCCACTGACAGAACCAGCTGGGCACCCCTGAAAAACTATTTTAAAATTTTATTTAGGGGCGCCTGGGTGGCTCAGTTGGTTAAGCATCCGACTTCGGCTCAGGTCATGATCTCGTGGTTCATGGATTCAAGCCCCGCATTGGGTTCTGTGCTGGCAGCTCAGAGCCTGGAGCCTGTTTCAGATTCTGTGTCTCCCTCTCTCTCTGCCCCTCCCCCGCTCATACTCAGTGTCTCTCTCTGTCTCAAAAATAAATAATTAAACAAATAAAATTTTATTAAATATTAATTGAAATTTAAATAGTCACATGTGGCTAGTGATTACTGTACTGGATAGCACAGCTTTAGTATTTAGACTAAAAAATGACTTTATACTGAATTGTATGCTTTAAAATGGCTAATGGTTAATTTTATGTGAATTTTACCTCAATTTAAAAAAAATGACTTTAAAAGGATTTTAAAAATGAATTTCTCTCTTTAATGGCCCAGGATTTTAGCTGATTTTTTCTTTTTTTTGCTAGTTGCAAAATAAAAACATGTTACAAAAGTCAGAACTTATTTTTGAAAAAATAGAAAAAATGAGAAAATACTATGCTGGTATAAATCCCATATATATACACAATCCAGTTTCCTAGCAAGAAAAATGATATACTGTGCATTTCTGAAATGCTGGTGTTCTGTTTCCTTAATTTTGTGATGATGATTTTAAGGCTGTTAGGGAAGCAGAGTTTAGTTTCTGATTTCATCATATGCCCATAACTAATACTGATTAAAACTGAAGGGGGGCGCCTGGGTGGCTTAGTCGGTTAAGCGTCCGACTTTCGCTCAGGTCATGATCTCGCGGTTCGGGTTCGAGCCCCGCGTCGGGCTCTGTGCTGACTGCCAGCTCAGAGCCTGGAGCCTGTTTCAGTCTGTGACTCCCTCTCTCTCTGACCCTCCCCTGCTCACGCTGTCTCTCTCTCTCTCCTAGAAATAAATAAAACATTAAAAAAAAAAAAATTTAAAAAAAAAAAAACAAAAAACAAAAAAAAACTGAAGGGAGTTATGGGAACAGTAAGGCAACTGGTATAATTAGAATGTTGGCCTATTTAACAATACAAATTGATTAAGGTCATTGTCAATCTTGCTATTAGATCAGCTTTTCTTTTTTCTCTGACCTCTATAACTTTCCAAATCATATTCATAGAGCCAACAACATTTCAAGTTGGATTCATATCCAGTCCTTTGGGTAACACTAGCTTAAAATATAACTCGACAGGTTCTTAAATGCTCTTTTACACAGAACTTAAGTAGTAATGGACCTGGTCTAAATTTCTAAGTGGATTCTTGTTGGGATTCAAATAAAGTATACAGATAATTTAGCCATCTTTTGGAGAGGTACTCAGTCTCATTTCCCATCAGTTCAGAGCAGAACCTACTGTGAAGTGTTTATATACCTTACCTAAGGCTTAAAACTCCAACTTTTTTTCCCTGCACCTTGATAAATGCTCTATTCAGTTGCAAATGCAAGGGATACTTTATATTTTGAAATCAGTGGCTCAGCAGAGCTCCTTAGGGACTGCCAGAGTGAGGACAGCTTCAAAGGCTAGACACAGTGTGACTTCTAAGCTGAGGATAATCAAAGGAATTCCCTTTCATCCCATTTTCTTTCAAACTCAGAACCACTATCATTCAATACACAAAGCAGCTAAGGTTGAAAACTGGAGTGCATAATTAGCACAAAGCTACCTTTACATAGGTAAGCAGTTTTCTGCAGAGATAGAATAATACACCTAAGTAATTTCTAGCTTTAAAGATTCAGGTTGAATTTTGCATGCTATCAGCAGATGGTAAAGAGGAGTTCAAGTGAAACTAATAATATATCCTGTTTTGTAATTGCTTTATGAAGGCAGGCATTCTGGTCATCAGAACCAAACACAATGCTTGGCTTATATTAAGCAGCTGTTGATTTAAATGCATGTTTGCTAAATGAATTAAACATTTCACAGGAACCACAAGATTCCTTAAAGGTCATCTAATCCAATTCCCTCATTTTATAGATGACTAAACAAAACCAAACTATAGAAATGTTAGCTTATATGCTGTGACATTTTTCAAGCAATGGCTCTGTGGGCATATCACGTGCCATGTGAAAGCTACTAAGAGGACAGACTCTGAAGCCTCTCGGCCTAGGTTCACGTCCTGGTTTCGCTATTTAATTCGCTGTTACAGCTCCGGACAAATCACTTAACCTTTGTGTTCCTCAGTCACCTCATGTCTGAAATGTGGATAAGAGTAGTACTACCCTCAGAAAGGTGTCACAAAGGTTAACATTTAACTAAAGCATTTAGAATAGTTTCAGGCATAGCAAACACTTAATATTAGCTATCCAAAATTAGTAATGGATATTTACTCTTGAATCTTTTATTCCCCTTTGCAGATCTCAGTTTTTCATTCATAGTTATGTCCCAACACATTTACTATGGGAAAAGTTTTAATTCTCTCCATTTGACAGTCAGCCAGCTACTAGAGGGGAAAGGGTCTGTTCAGCAAGAGGGAAAATGCCCTCCTCCATTAACCCACTTCATACTTCCATTTGAAGGTTCATGAGTTTAGAAAGAATTCTGTGATCTAGGAAAGGGGGAACAAGTTGTCTTTCCACCTTCAAGGTCTAGCAACAGAACCTGGATCACATCGTTTCCTGAATGAATAACGAACAATGATCGAACACTGGGCTGGTGGCTCAGCAAAGGCTACATGCATGGGAAAGACAAGTGGGGTGTCATGAGAGTTGGTCCACTACCGGTTTTTTTTTTTCTTTGTCTTTCTGCAGACCTACAGAATTAACACAACGCCCTCCCACACTAGGCTGCCAGGCCCAAAGTAGGTTCTCAGCAAAATTCTGTTTAATGAGTAGATGAAGTAATCTAATGTGGGGTTTAACCTTATAAAGGACTGAGTCTATTGGCAGTAGAGACACCCACAGGAGCGCAGTGTTATTTTGGGGGACACGGCATAGCTATGTCCACAGTGAGAGAATGATCAAACATTTACTTTACGACAGGGATGACCTCGTATAAATAAACTTTACTTCCTATCAGATATATGCCTACTTTTTAAAAAAGAAGCCTCCTTTTAGAAGAAGTCTCCTGATGAAAGACGCTGAAGGAAGGACACTGGTACAATGGCAAATTATTACAAGCAGTCACTAAATTCCATCATCAACAAATCTTTCCATCGGGTTCCCCTCAAAACAGCTGGACTACCACCGAAATGGATGCTGCAGCTAAAACTAGGTCGGGTGGAGAGAAAAGGCCTAGAATGGGGAGGGGTCAGAACGCTGGCCGTTTCCCCACTAACTCCCAGGCACACTACCTCCTCCTTCTCCGCTCGGTCCTAAGGGGGCGACGCCACCGGCGCCGCCCCATTGCGCAGGCGCCGCCCTTCGGCCCGCATGCGCACCTAGTGCGGCGCGGCCTGAGGCAATTTCCTTACGCTTCCTCTCCAGCAGGCTCCAGTTTCTCCTCCTATCTTCTCCATTTTAATAGTCCCTGCAGGTAGGATCCCAGGGGTCAGCTCCCTGCCACCTGAGCCCTCGAACACTTACCTCAGAGGATTTGGCACTTTCCCCTACAGCCCCGCCCCCAGAGCCAACCGGAGCGGCAGCGTTTACAGCGACGAGGACGGCGGCGTGCGCGCGCCCGCGCGGAAGGAAACCGCGCCGGCGTGCGCGCGCTCGCGTTTGTGGGCGTGGCCAGGGTGGAGAGTAGCTGTGGACGCGCTCTGGGAGAGGACTTCCGGTTCCTTCGGTTTACCCCGGCGTTAGCGCGGTTTGTCTGCAGCTCCTGGAGTTCTTTTCTCTTCAGTCGATTTGGTGTATTCGCTTTTTTTTTTGCTTGCTTTTATGATTCGGGGCGTTAGCTTCCCCCACATTTCAGGCCTTCTGCTGTCTTCTCTCCAGACTACCACGAAGCAGGGTTAAATTGTTTATCCCCCTCCCCCTCTTCTTTCAGAGCATTCTTGTAGACTGGTCAGTGCCGAATGGGAAAGGCAGATGAAGTTTGCTGTCTTTGAGTCACTTCGCTCTCACTCCAGAGCTCATGGTCTCAGGGCCCGGCCTAAACATTAAACTACCTTTGTCAAGGGCCTTTATTTATTTTGTGAGGTCCTGGGGGAATAGGGCACTACGATGTAATGCCATTGAACTGTTGCTAATTATGCCTGTCTTCAAGTCTGTTTACCTTCTATGCTATTTCTCGCAACGCGAAATCTCTACTTGGTTCTGGAAGCAAATTACCCATTAAAGTGACTGACTTGCTGAGGACTGGATTGAACTTTAGTATATTTAGTAAGAATTGGTTGGGTTTGTTGGAGGATCTCTCTAATTTTGGGCTTCAAGACTACATAACATATGTGGTAGGAACATGGGTTGAACTTAACCACAGCTAGCCCATAAAGAACCTTTACTTTCTTAATTCATGATTTATTAAGTGGTGACTAGAAGCTTCGCTTCTCAGAGAGTGATGTACAGTTTTTGGGTAGTGGCCTGTAGAAAATGGATTCCTCTGCTCAGCAATGTGTTGGTTTGAAGAACCATGTTGGTTAAGTCTTATTTTAACTGTTTTGATGGGTAACTGGATCTAATTTTGAGGTTTATGATTCTGGCATCTGTAAAAGTATTANCCCCCCCCCCCCCCCCCCCCCCGCAAAGGAATGTGTACTACACATTCCTAATCCTCTTAATTATCATGCTGGATAAAAAGGGTGACACATTTAGTAAATGGTTAGATAAACAGAAGGTCGTTTCTTACTCCCTTTAGTTAATTAAAGTAATAAATACACTTCTATTCTTACAAAGTCATGGATAGCCTGTATATAGAGGGCTGAATACTTTTTTTGTTTATTTATTTTGAGAGAGAGTGTGTGCGCGTGTGCACACACACGTGCATGGAGTAGGGGTGGAGAGAGAGAGAGAGAGAGAGAGAGAGAGAATCCCAAGCAGGCTCCTGAAAGTGTGGATAAGGGGCTTGAACCCATGAACTTTGAGATCATGACCTGAGCCGAAATCAAGAGTTGATGCCCAAACGATTGAGCCACCCAGGACCTCCAGGCTGAGTACCTTTTAATTACCTTTTCTTGGAGTGCTGAAATAGTTTACAAATTACTGTTTAGAGTCACCTGGGCACCTGGCTGGCTCAGTCCATGGAGCATGCGACTTAATCTCAGGGTTGTGAGTTTGAGCCTCATGTTGGGTGTAGAGATTACTTAAAAGTAAAATCTTTAAAAACAAATTACTGTCGAGAGTGATCCAGAAATGGAATACTATTGTGGGAATGTAGCAACTTCCTTAAAACAGCTTGCAGATAGGGGAAATCTAATGGAAATAGGGCTACTTTTGCTTAGTATGTACTTTGAACAGATGTCCAGTTGCATAATGATCGATATAATAGAGAGAGGGGTTTTATTTCTGATTAAAACAAGGGAAGGTGATCATTTATTTTTCAGGATTTCACTAGAACACTATTGGGAGAAAGTATCATGGAAGTTCTGCGCCCACAGCTTGTAAGGATTGGTGGACGGATTTACAGAAAAAATCCCATCCAAGAACAGACTTATCAACATGAAGAAGATGATGAAGACTTCTATCAAGGTAATCCTAGTTGCTCTTGGGTCAGGTTAGTACAGTGGTCTCTGCATTGTGGAAGCAGTGCTTTGTTTTGTTTCAAAGTGTTCTCTGAGCACTGAAATTTGACACGTTTGGCCTCTACCTAGCTCTGTTTCTGTGGATGTCTGAAGGAACTGGTAAGTTTCATTTTGATGAGACATTCTCAGTCCATAAATCAAGTTTCATCTCTGTGCAGAGACATAAATGTAATAAGGGATAATTTTAGTAAACTTTTAACAGTAGCCACTAATATTCTTTGACAAAATAAATTTCTTTTATCTGTAAAATTGTGAAGTAGTATATTTAAATTGTTGAAGTAATAGAAATAGGTATTTTATCTGGCACCCCAAAATGTTAGCCGTTATGACTGTTATGTTGTGATTTTTCTTCTCTTTGTAATCATATAGGCAGTTCCAAATATGTAACTAACAACTTTATTATTATGTAGGGATGATTTTAAGTAGTAAACTAAACAGTTGAGATGGATTATGAATATATATATATATATATTTTAAACTTACTTAATTATTTTGAGACAAAGGGAGGGAGAGAATTCCTAAGTGCAGAGCGCAGTGCAGGGCTCGAACTCACAAACTGTGATATCATGACCTGAGCTGAAATCAAGAATTGGATCCTTAACCAGCTGAGTCACCCAGGCACCCTGATTATCAATACTTCTAAGCCAATTAACTTGGGCTTGGGTTTAATGCATAAATAGGTCCTTTCAGGGTCTCTGCTTCCTTTTCTTTGGGTTTATAAACTTTTTCATCAGGCCTTAACCTTGGGGGTTAGTCTTCCCTCTGGTTTTCCCATTGTTTCCGTTTAGCCTTGGGGACTTGGCCTTATTTATTTGACCCTCCTTTCTCTTTGGCTGGCCTAAGGGAGTAAGTTCTCTTGGTATCACTGCTATCTCATTCACTGAAGTAATTTAGTTTTAATACTAAAAACTGCTTCCTTGGGCATTGTAAGAGGATACTTTGTTATTTGAATTACATCTCTGTAAAAAATAGTAAAAAAAAATTATTGTGTCTTTCTGGGAGAAAACAGTTCAATAGTGGTATGTGTATACTATTTTTCAAGAGTTCTAAGACTGGAAGATTTAACACAGACATGTGTTTTTTATTTTTCTTCTAAGAGCAGACCAGGAGAAATGTCAGCAGTGTTCTGCAGCATAAAGTGTTGGGCTATTCTTTGTGCATGTGTATTCTTTTAAACCTTGAGAGTGGTTGGCAGGTGGGGAGAAGACTGTTGTCCACAGAGCAGCAGCCGTGAGCGAGGTGTTATGGTTTCTCTGCAGGCTTCATGGAGTGTGCAGAAGAGCCCTGTGATGCCTACGAGGTGGTGCAGACCCAGCAAGGTTTCCGGTGTACCGTGAAGGCCCCCAGCCTGCTGTACAAGTGAGTGAGGCCCCCAGCTTCATGGGACACACTTCCAGGAAATTCAGCAGGAAGATGACTCTTTTCTACACTTTTCTGCAGTGCTTGATTACTAAAAACAGTTTAGTGTTTTATGTGCTAGGATTTCTAAGGACTGATAATGGATCAGTTTCATCAATTCCAGTGTATCACCAAGTCCTGATGATTTTTGCCTCTTAAATTTGTCTTTTGAATCTACCACTTGTCTCTTTCTTTACTGCCACCCTGCTGCATCTTCTATGGATTACTTCGAATAGCCTACTTAATAGGCACCTAATTATTCTCCTCCCAATCAGTTGTTGACATTAAAGGTAGAGTCATCTTTCTAAAAGATGGAAAGGGGGGCGCCTGGGTGGCTTAGTCGGTTAAGCGTCCGACTTTCGCTTAGGTCATGATCTCGCGGCTCGTGGGTTCGAGCCCCGCATCGGGCTCTGTGCTGACTGCCAGCTCAGAGCCTGGAGCCTGTTTCAGAGTCTGTGTCTCCCTCTCTCTCTGACCCTCCCCTGCTCACGCTGTCTCTCTCTCTCTCTCTCTCTCTCATAGAAATAAATAAAAAAAAAATATTAAAAAAAAAATAAAAGATGGAAAGGAAAATATGATTATTTTATTACCTCTACTTAATTAAATCTGTCAACATCTACCAATGAAGATGGAATTCTCTTCCAGTAGAGTGATGGCCAGACTCTTGACCATGACTTAGCCAGCCCTGCATTTTTCAGTCACAACTCACGCCACTCTTTTTCTGGTTTTGCACTGAAGCCTGCCTAGTTTTCTTCAGTTCCTGAAGTGTGCTGTAGCTTGTTCCTGCCTTAGAGCTTTGGCATATGCTGTTCCCTTTGCTTTATAAGTTCTCTTTCTTACCTAGTTATATTGTTAAATTCTTTCTAGGGAACCTTGCTTTGACATCATCATCCCCATCAACCACATTGATTACTCTATTTTTGTAACCCCCTCTACCTTTCCTTTGTAGCATTTTTCAGTCATGTATATTTATTTGTGTACTGTCTGATGTCTTCTTCACAAGATGGGAGACTTCTGGAAGGCAGGAATGTGTTCAATTAATCTCCAGTGTTTGTCAGAGACTGATAAGCTTTCTTCAGGGTCGTCTTTATGAATTTGCTCAGAAACTTTGCGATCACTTCAATCTGTGCTTGCTTACGTGATTGCCCACCTTCTGCCTCCACAGTAAGATGGTTAGCTTATATGGCTAACTGGCTTCTTTTGGGCTTACACCTCTGGATGTAGACTGGCTTAGAGGGTGTGTAAATTGTTACTGTGTGTTGTACCATGTGAATTAGGTTTGTTCAAGCTCCTCTGTGAAGGAGATCTACAAATAGGGACGCATATGCCTTTAAGCTCCAAGAAGCAAATCATTACATTTTCACCAATGTTGAGAATATTGTGAAACACCTGTTAAGGATGAAATTCTTCTCTTGGAATGTGGCCAAATGGGAAAACCAAATGTTAAACCTGACAGCTCATTTTCCTTTAAGGTTCCAGTGACATTTTCTTCTAAGAAATAAGATTTTAGAAAGTCGTGTTTGGTTTCCTGATGAAGTCAATGCAGCTGTTTTTCTTAATGTATGTATTTGCCACCACTCAGGTGTGTAAAGATTCCTTAGATGTCTGATTCAAACTTGATGATCTTCTGAATTCTATGTATTCTAAGTATTCATTATGTTCTAGGTGACTTCCATGTTAGATTAGGTATTAGTTCTGCTCAATTGTAATGAATAGACAATATTTACTAGGAAGATTTCTTTCTTATTAATCACTTCTTTAGGCTTATTTAGATCAAGGAAGAAATTACTTGACCAAATTAATTTATAATCATATCTTAATGGTAGTAGCATCTGTACATGGACTAGATATAATTCTTTAATTCTCCATGTCAGCTACATGTTAGATAGAATCACCTGGGGAGCTTTTAAAACTCCCTGTACTTGGGTGTACCCCAGACTAATTAAACAGACTCTCTGGGAGCTGAATTCAGGCATCATTAGTTTTTGAAGACCCCCAGGTAATTCCAGGGTGTAGCCAAGATGGAGAACCACTTGATTTGGTAAGAATTTTTACCTTAATTAAGGAGTCACCTTTTCACTGTGTATCTCTTATTGTTGTGAATGTTTTAGACTCCCCACATAAACTTCTTTTGAACCTGGCAGTAGTCCTAACTGGAAAGATGCCATTTTGGATGGCATGGAATGTACTGAGCAATGTACCAGTCACTGGGAAGCCCTTTTATACATGATCACGTTTAAGCCTTACAACAACTTTGTTGTACTTAGGTATTATTCATTCCATTTTTCTAAGTGAGGAAGTCACCTTAGAGTAGTTAGGTGACTTGCCCAGGATTAGAGTCTAAAACTTCTTTAACCTCAGCCATTTCCTTTCTAAAATGTCTAGGCTATTAATAATAATACTTTGAGCCAGGTATTTTGTGTGTGTGTTTTTAAAAGATTTTATTTTTAATTTTTATTTACTTTTACCTTTTAAATTTAAATTTTAGTTAATATACAATACGATACTGGTTTCAGGAGTAGGATTCAGTGATTCATAACTTACATACAACACCCAGTGCTCCCATCATCCATCTAGCCCAGCTCCCACCCATCTCTCTCCATCAACCCTCAGTTCTCTATCATTAAGAGTCTCTTATGGTTTGTTTCCCTCTCTTTCTCCCTCCTTCCCATGTGTTCACCTGTTTTCTTTCTTAAATTGCACATATGAGTGAAATCATGGTATTTGTCTTTCTCTGACTGACTTTTTTCACTTAGCATAATGCTTTCTAGCTCCATGCACATCACTGCAAATGGCAGGGTTTCATTCTTTTTGATGGCTGAGTACTATTCCATTGTGCATATATACTACATCTTCTTTATTCATCAGTCAATGGACATTTGGGCTTTCTCGATAATTTGGCTATTGTTGATAATGATGCTATAAACATTGGGGTGCATGTGCCCCTTTGAATGTATTTTTGTATCCTTTTGGTAAATCCCTAATAGCGCAGTTGCTGGATCGTGGGGTAGTTCTATTTTTAGTTTTTTGAGGAACCTGCATACTGTTCTCCAGAGTGGCTACCCCAGTTTGCATTCCCACCAACAGTGCAAGATCCTTAGTTCCCTGTTCTCTACATCCTTGCCAACACCTCTTGTTTCTTGTGTTTTTAATTTTACCCATTCTGACAGGTATGAGGTGATAGCTCATCATCATTTTGATTTGTATTTGCCTGATGATGAGTGATGTTGAGCATCTTCTCATGTGTCTGTTAGCCCTAAAGCTTTTATTTTTAAATGATGTCTACACCCAACATGAGGCTTGAGCTCATAACCCCGAGATTAAGAGTCGCATGCTCCACCGACTGAGCCAGCCAGGTGCCCTAAGCCAGCTACTCATTGTTAATAGGCTTCTCTGCTAGGCACATGCTGACAAACAGTAGCCTGGTTGAAAGTACCTCTTATTGGGGATCCTAGGTGGCTCATTCAGTTGAGTATCTGACTCTTGATTTTGGTTCATGTCATCATCCCAGGGTTGTGAGATTGAGCTCCGGGTGGGGCCCTGTGCTGAGCTTAAGATTCTCTCTCCCTCTCCTCTCTCCGCCTCTCCTTCTCCTCTCTCCCTTTCCTTCTCCCCCTCCCTCTGCCCCTTTCCCCTGCCCCCACGAACATACTCTCTCTCTATCAATAAAAAAAAAAAAAGTACCCTTATTGATAAGGCCTGGAAAGACAAAAGCCTGACAGAGTTGGTGGAATAGACTAGTGCAACAGAGAGACAAACCACAGGGGAATTGCGGGGTAGGTGTGTGTGTGTGTGTGTGTGTGTGTGTGTTTCATTTTTTCTTAATGTTTTATTTATTTCTGAGAGAGACAGCGTGAGCAGGGGAGGGTCAGAGAGAGAGGGAGACACAGAATTTGAAACAGGCTCCAGGCTCTGAGCTGGCTGTCAGCACAGAGTCCGATGCGGGGCTCAAACCCACAAACCATGAGATCGTGACCTGAGCAGAAGTCGGACGCTTAACTGAATGAGCCACCCAGGTGCCCCAGCGGTGTTTTAATCCTCTTCTAAACATCTTTTTTTTTTTTTTTTTTTTTTAACCAGCTTACTACAGTGGATCTTAATGGAAATATTTGGGCTGCTTATTCCATGTAAAAACAAATGCACAGTTTTAGAGCTAGTCACTCATGTTGTTGGGTACTGTAATTGAAATCACAGAAGCTGAAATATTGTTGATAATGGGAAAGTTTTTTTCTCTTCATAGTCCTGTCTTTGCATCTTTAGTGCTTTATAGACTCTGAAACTTATCTCCTGGGATCCAGTAGTCTCATTTACTTTAACACATCTAATTACTGTGGGTTCCAGAAGATAACCTTGGATTGTCAGAATTATTTATTCTACGAGGCCCATGCAAGTGATGTAAGTGAGTCGATAGATGGTGGAAATGGAGTAGATGAAACCGAGTACGGAGTGATGGGGATTGTGATGAGCTCAGTTACGTTTTTAGGGACGAGAGTAAGCTCCAGCCTCTTGTTGCCATGAGTTATCAGATCTTCTAATTTTTCTGAAGAACCTGGAAATCTATATTTTTAGGTGAAATTTTCCAATTTTTAGGTGAAATCTCCTGAATAAAACCTGTATGTGCTGAATTCAGTCTGAGGGTTACCTGTTTACTCTTTTTGCTTTTGAAGCTATCCTGAATAATCTATTGTGAATGGTAGACCCTTCTCTTTGTTAAGCCCTTTAACCTTATTTTATTTTATTATTATTATAATTTTTAAAATATTTATTTAAAAAATTTTAAATGTTTTATTTATTTCTGAGAGAGAGAGAGCGCGCACGCGCGCAAGAGCGAGCGAGCGCGAGCAGGGGAGGGTCAAAGAGAGAGGAAGATATAGAATCTGAAACAGGCTCCAGGTTCTGAGCTAGCCGTCAGCACAGAGCTCAACACGGGGCTCGAACCCACGAACCGTGAGATCATGACCTGAGCCGAAGTCGGATGCTTAACCAACTGAGCCACCCAGGCGCTCCTTTAATATTTATTTTGAGAGAGGGAAAGCGTGAACTCATGCATGTGTGAGCAGGTAAGGGACAGAGAGAGAGGGAGAGAGAGAAAATTCCAAGCAGGTTCTGTGCTGTTAGTGCAGAGTCTGATGTGGGACTTGATCTCAGGAACCGTGAGATCATGACCTGAGCTGAAATCCAGCATCAGATGCTTAACCTACTGAGCCAACCCTTATTTTATTAATCAAAGATAATTCTTGTAGAATGAACTCATAATATAGTTAATTTGCTCTCCAGAGGACAACGTTTTCCCTAAACTGTAGACCCACTGGTTGCTGGAAGTGCCTTTTGAGACTATGCCAGCTTTCTTTTCACTGAACTGCAGACCCAGATTTTGAATCTAATTTTGGAGAGCAAACAGGTGTTGGGCATGGTTGTTTTGTTTATATATTGAACTGACTCTAGGGCATTATTTTGTCAGTTGGTGTAATGCAGCACATTCTGTAAAGCTGTATGACTTGTAACTTCCTCTACAAATATTGAGCCTTTGCTGATGCACTTTTCTCTAAAGGAGTATCTCTGGCTACATATTAAAATGTGATGTAATTTTTTATTCTGGTACATTTGACTTACTATCCTTCCATTAATTAATATTTCTCTATATTATAGGCATATAGTTGGAAAGAGAGGGGACACTAGGAAGAAACTAGAAGTAGAAACCAAAACTTCTATTAGCATTCCTAAGCCTGGACAAGAAGGAGAAATTGGTGAGACTTGCTATATGTGTGATATTTGCAGTTAATTTTGCATGTGTATGGAATAGTGTGAACCCAACAGAGGCATTTAGTGACAATATTCTTTTTTTTTTTTGATGTCCATGGGCAGGATTGAATAGTGACAGTGTTCTTTATGGGATTCTGTTGCAATTGGCCTTTTTATGATCCATCAGTATCAGTCTCCCAGTGAGGGAAGATGTAGTTATACACCTTTATCTTGATTGAGTACTTGGGCCTTCACTTTATACTTTACCATGCACTGATGTTGTGTATTAGGAGAATTCTTCTATGCTTTCCTAGCTTGAAATGGAGTTTGTGAATTGTTTAAAGTTAGAATTAGAGGAAAACCAGGGAGGTCAGCAAATTTGAAGTCTAGTTCAGCCCTTTCCAAACGGGTTCTCTTGTTTTTACCTTGCTTCATAGACTGGGAAGGATATTACAAAAGTACTGATTAAAATAACCTGATTCAAGTAACTGTTCAAGTGAGGAAAAACAGTTGAGTATAAATCGGGTCAGAAAATGTCTGTATCAAGCATCAGCGTGAACCGGGGGCACAGGCTTGTGTTATAAAATGGCTTTGAGTGAAGGGCACTCATTGTAGGGACAACATTTTACAAAATTCCTTCCAAAACGATAGGAATTTTTCTAAGTCCAATAAGCACAGCAGCCACCAATAATACATTTTTTATAAATATCCATGGGTTTTATTTTCAGGAAAAAAGAATTAATAGTTCTCTATACTCTTACTATGTAAGAGTAATCATCATCACAGATAAAATGCAGTTGACTGTAGAGCAGTGCTGTCCAGAAGGACTTTCTGCGATGATGGGAATGTTCTATACTTGCATTGTCCAGTACAGGAGCCACTAGCACGTGTGACTGCGAGTGCTTGAGATGTCGCTGGTAGGACGGAGGAACTGAATTTTTAATTTCATTTAATTCTAATTCATTTAACTCTTTTTTTTTTAATTTTTAAAATGTTTTTATTTCTGAGAGAGAGACACACATACAGTGTGAGTGGGGGAGGGTCAGAGAGAGAGGGAAATACAGAATCTGAAGAAGGCTCCAGGCTCTGAGCTAGCTGTTAGCAAAGAGCCCAACACGGGGCTCGAACCCACGGAACTGTGAGTTCGTGACCTGAGCCGAAGTCGGACACATAACCGACTGAGCCACCCAGGCGCCCCTAATTCATTTAACTCTTAATTTAACTAGTTGTATGTGGGCTCCTGTATTGGTAGCAAAATGCTGGAGTTTTTCTCAGCCCTTTGGTAACATCAGCAGGTTAAGAACTTTAATGACATTTTTGAAGAACTTTCATTAAAATAAATATTCAGATCATTAGAATTACAGATAGAAAAACCCAGATATTTCCTTAAGCATTAAAGTTCAAGCTACAAATATTGATGTAATTTTATAATTGCAATAAAGGTTATTTCCTTACAATTTTTTTTAATGTTTATTTATTTTGCAAGAGAGAGAGAGTGTGAGCATGGGAGGGGCAGAGAGAGAGGGGGACACAGAATCCAAAGCAGGCTCCCGGCTCTGAGCTGTCAGCACGGAGCCCAACGTGGGGCTCCTACTCACCAACTGTGAGATCGTAACCTGAGCTAAAGTCAGACGCTTAACTCACTGAGCCATCCAGGTGCCCCAAAGGTTACTTCTTTAACTGTTTTTTTCCTGATTGTAAATTAATACAGGCTTTCAAAAAAAGCAAAAGCTATAGAAATTATATTTAAGTATAAGGAGAAATGCCTTGTAATAGGAACCTCAGACATAATCACTGTTAACAGTTGAATATATTCCTCAGTTTTTCTATCTTTATAGAAGCTATTTTAATTTTTATTGCAGTAAAAATTATAACATGGTATAAATGTGGAGATCTTAGGCATTCTAAGATGTTGGAATCATTCCAAAACTTATCTAGAAAAGGGTAGGTAGGTTGTAAAGATTCCGTTTTGACTTAGAAAGCACAAATATTTCAGTGTGAAAACCAGTGTGTCTAATCGTTAAAAGTAAGAATTTAGTGGAACTAATTTAATTGAAAAACAAGAGGATAAACTGGCTTATTGGTCTTGTAGGGAAGTAAGGTATATGGAAGAATCAAATTTATTGGTTAGAGTAAATTGAGTTGTGATGTGAGATTAAGACAGGTTGCACTGGTGTGGTATTTGCTTTCATTTATTCATTTTCTTTTGCCTCTCCTAAAAACAGACTAAAGAAGGAAATATCTGGTAGATTAAAAAAAAATTTTTTTTTTTTTTAACGTTTTATTTATTTCTGAGAGAGAGAGACAGTGTGAGCAGGGGAGGGTCAGAGAGAGAGGGAGACACAATCTGAAACAGGCTTCAGGCTATGAGCTAGCTGTTAGCACAGAGCCTGATGCGGGGCTCAAACCCACGAACTGTGAGATCATGACCTGAACCGAAGGTGGCCGGCCAACCAACTGAGCCACCCAGGCGCCCCTATCTGGTAGGTTTTAATTTGTCCTCTTGGCAAGGATCTGCTTGTCTAGGCTGTTTTGAAGTCTCAAGATGTCAGAAGATGCTTTTTTTTTTTTTTTTTAAATGTTTATTTTTGGCATGCCTGGGGGCTCAGTTAGTTGAGTGTCCAACTTCGGCTCAGGTCATGATCTCGCTGCTCGTGAGTTTGAGCCCCTTATCCAGCTCTGCTAGCAGCTCACAGCTTGGAGCCTGTAGCCTGCTTTGGATTCTGTCTCTGTTTCTCTGCCCCTTCCCACTTGTGCTCTGTCTCTCTTTCAGATATAAAAAACATTTTAAAAAAATGTTTATTTTTGAGAGAAAGAGAGACAGCGTGCGAGCAGCAGAGGGCAGAGAGAGAGGGAGATACAGAATCGGAAGCAGGCTCCAGGCTCTGAACTGTCAGCACAGAGCCCGATGCGGGTCTCAGACTCAAAAACCGTGAGATTATGACCTGAGCTGAATTGGACGTTTCACCAACCAAGTCACCCAGGCGCCCCCCAGAAGATGCTTTTAAAATGATACTGTCAGAGCACCTGGGTGGCTCATTTGGTTGAGCACCCACCTCTTGATTTTGGCCCAGGTTATGATCCCAGGGTCATGGGATTGAGCCCTATGTTGGGCTCCATGCTGAGTGTGGAGGTTGCTTAAGATTCTCTTTCTCCCTCTGCCCCTTTCCTCTGCTCAAAGGCGTTCTCTCTCTCTCTCTGTCTCTCTCTCTCTCTCTCAAATAAAAAAATAAAATTATAGTGTCGTTGTTAGAGAAATGGTTTAATGTCTGGTTGCCTGGATTGCTTCAGTCAGTTAAGTGTCTGACTTGATTTCAGCTGAGGTCATGATTTCACAGTTCCGTGAGTTCTGCACTGACAGTCCAGATCCTGCTTGAGATTCTCCCTCTCTGTCCCTCGCCTGCTTGTGCACTCTCTGTCTTTTTCAGAAATAAATAATAAAAAAGTTTAAAAAATTTAATGTCAATGCCTTTAATTCTCTCTTCCTCTGTATCCCTTGATGTAGTCGCTGGATCAACTGAATTTTGGTCTTCTCAGATATTTTTTGAGACAGAATAGGTTGGGGAGGAGCAGAGAGGGAGAAGGGGACAGAGGATCCGCACTGACAGCAGAGAGCCCTATGCAGGGCTCAAACTCACAGACTCAGATAATGACCTGAGCCGAAGTCAGACGCTTAATTGACTAAGCTACCCAGGTGCCCTGGTCTTATTTCTTACCAGACTAACTTTTTTTTTTTTTAAGTTTTAAAATTTATTTTGAGAGAGAGCATGCGAGAGCAGGGTAGGGGCAGAGGGAGAGAGAGTCTCCAGCAGATTCCATGCTTAGCACTGAGCCTAAGATGCTTGATCTTAGGACAGCAAGATCATGACCTGAGCTTATATCGAGTCGGGCACTTCACCGACTGAGGCACCCAGGCACCCCCCAAACCACCTTCTTTTTTTAAAGATTTTTTTTAATGTTTAATTTATTTTTGAGACAGAGAGAGACAGAGCATGAGAGGGGGAGGGGTAGAGAGACCAAGAAATACAGAATCCGAAGCAGGCTCTAGGCTCTGAGCTGTCAGCACAGAGCTCACTGCAGGGCTCGAGCCCATGAACGTGAGATCATGACCTGGGCCCAAGTAGGAGGCTTAACCAACTGAGCCACCCAGGCAGCCCCCCAAAACACCTTCTTAATAAAAAAGAATAGACTTAACATTTTGTACCAGACATTTACAGAAAAAAAACGTAAACATGAGTTTTAAGCTTCCTTTCTGCTCCTTTTCCTTTTGGTTTCTCACCAAATTTTTGGTCTCTGGCAGAGGTAATTACTACCTCTTTAATTTTGTCTCTGTTTGCCTTCAAACCCTCCTTTATCAGTATTTCTCTAGCATAATATTTGAGTACATACTTCCTTCACTGAGCATTTGAGTCTTTAGGATTCTCCAAGTATTCTATCTGATAATATAAATAATGTCATTAGAAAACACTGTGTCCCTACCTACATTTTTTGGGTATTACTCCTGTCAATATTTTACTTATGCAAAATGGTTCTCATGCTGTTAATCCATTCATTCATAATCTTCTTTTCCTAGATATTTCTATCTTGTTTCTATATAATAAAGTGGCAGTGATACTTTTATTCTTAGAAAAGGTTGTTTTTATTGAAAATTTCAAGTGCTTTAATGGAGAGTGTTAGGGTAAATACATAGAATTATCTCTTTAACTTCTGCAGTTGCTTAGAAGGACAAGCTTTGTGGTTTTTAGGTTTTTATTTATTTTTTAGAGAGAGACAGAGAGAAAGAGAACAAGGGAGGGACAGAGAGAGAATCCCAAGCAGACTTCATGTTGCCAGCACAGAGCCAGACGTGAGGCTCGAACCCACAAACTGTGAGATCATGACCTGAGCTGAAACCAAGAGTCCGACACTTAACCAACTGAGCCCCCCAGGTGTCCCCAAGCTTTGTGGTCTTTAAAGCACATAGCCCGTTTTGATGCTAATACAGTTAATACCTCAATATTTATATCCTATTCAGAAGTCTGTCTTTTACCATTTTAATAAATAGTCTGTTGAGGGCCGCCTAGGTATCTCAGTGGTTAAGCATTGGATTTTGGCTCAGATCATGATCTCACAGTTGGTGAATTCAAGCCTCGCGTTGGGTGAGTTCGAGCCCCGCTTTGAGCCCCACTTCAGATGAACTCCGCTTCAAGTGAGCATGTGCCCTGCATCGGGTGAGCCCCGCTTCTCTCTCTCTCTCTCCCTCTCTGCCCCTGGTGGGATTTTCTCTTTCCCTCTCTCTCTCTGCCCCTTTGTCACTTGTGCCATCTCTCTCCCAAAAAATAAATAAATAGTCTCTTAAAATGCCAATTTTGTTCATTGTTTTTATCTTTTGCACCTTTCTTTAGTTGTGGTTAAAATACACACAACATAAAGTTTACTATTATGACCATTTTTTAAATGTAAACTCTATACCTAACATGGCGCTTGAACTTATGACCCTGATAATCAGGAGTTGCATGCTGTACTGACTGAGCCAAACTGCGCCCCCCTCCCCCTGCACTTTGATAATTTAAAAGTGTTGAATACAGTGGCATTTGGTGCATTTACAGTGTTGTGTAACCGTCACCAGTATCTGGTTTCAGAACATTTTTATCATCCCAGACTCACTAAGCAGTCACTCCTCATCCCTCTCTACCCCTAGTCCTTGGCTACCACTAATCTGCTCTCTGTCCCTCTGCATTTACCTGTTCTGGCTATTTCTTATCAATGGATACATACAGTGACATTCTGTATCTGAGGCCTTCCACTTAGTATAATGTTTTCAAGATTCATTTATATTTTTGCATGTATCTGTACTTCATTCTCTCTTTTATGGCTGCATTATATTCCAGTATATGGAGACAGGACATTTTGTTTATTCATTTATCAGGTTTTTTTGAACACCTGGTTTTTGGTTTTGTTTTTTTAAAAATATTTTTTTCAGGATTTTTTTCTTGTATTTCATACTATTATTTTTTAAAATCTATTTTTTTAAGTAAACTCTACCTGCAAAGTGGGGCTCCAAGATCAAGAGTCACATGCTGTATTGATAACTGAGTCAGCTAGGCACTTCTTGTTTTACTATCTAGTGGTTTCTATCTAGGAGTGGAATTGCTGGTCATATGGTAATTCTCTTTCTAATTTTTAAAAAAATATTTATTTTTGGGGCACTTAGGTGGCTCAGTTGGTTGAGCATCCAACTTTAGCTCAGGTCATGATCTTGTGGTTCATGAGTTCAAGCCCCATGTTGGGTTCTCATTTTTGAGAGAGAGTGGGGGAAGAGTAGAGAGAGGGAGACACAGAATCCAAAGCAGGTTCCAGGCTCTGATCTGTCAGCACAGAGCCTGATGCAGGGCTTGAACCCACAAGCCATGAATGAGATCATGACCTGAGCTGAAGTCGGACACTTAACCGACTGAGCCACCCAGGCACCCCTCTTTTTAACTTTTTAAGGAACTGCCATACTCTTCTGTAGCTGCTGCATCATTTTACATTTTCACTACAAGATATGAAATTTTGCTGTATGGCTTTTTCAACTCATTTTCCTACTTCATCAGGTGGTCTTAAGGATATTCTGTTTTTGTTCTTATTTTTATTTTCTCTTTCAGAGAGAAAGAGAGTGTGAGCAGGGGAGACGGGCAGAGGGAGAGAGAAAATCTGAAGCAGGCTCCGTGCAGTGTGGAGAGCCAGTGTAGGGCTCCATCCCACTCCCTAGGATCATGGCCAGAGCCGAAATCAAGAGTCAGATGTTCCACCGACTGAGCTACCCAGGCGCCTCAGGATATTCTGTTTTTAATTTTTTTTTAAGGCTTATTTATTTTTGAGAGAGAGAGAGAGAGAGAGAATGTGAGCGGGGAAGGGGCAGAGAGAGAGGGAGACACAGAATCTGAAGCAGGCACTAGGCTCTGAGCTGTCAGCCCAGAGCCCAATATGGGGCTTGAACTCACAAACTGTGAGATCATAACCTGAGGGGAATTTGGGTGCTTAACCAACTGAGCCACCCAGGCACTCCTTTGTTTTTAAACCTTATTCTACTTAGATTGAATTTACTAATAACTTTCTTACTTTTCGTACTGTCTCTTATTCAGAAATTATGTGCACATTCACGACTGTTTTAGCTCTCCAAAGATGATAGTATTGAGGTCACTTATTTTATAAGCATCTGATGGTCATGTTAAACATCTCTCCTTTTTTTTTTTTGTTTTTTGTTTTTTGTTTTTTGTTTGCAGTAATCACTGGACAGCATCGCAGTGGTGTAATTTCAGCCCGAACTCGGATTGATGTTCTTCTGCTCACTTTTAGAAGAAAGCAGCCCTTTACTCACTTCCTTGCCTTTTTCCTCAATGAAGTGGAGGTTCAGGAGCGATTCCTGAAGTTCCAGGAGGAAGTACTGCAGAAGTGCTCCATGGTAAGCAGCAAACAAAACAAAAAGTTAAAGGATACAAAAATGGTTCATAATTCAAACAGTTGAAAGATATAAATTTCTTCTCCCACCGAAAAAGTAACTGTTTCTGATGATTTCTTTTGATTCTGAACTGAAAAAAAGAAATAGACATGTCAGCACATAAAGCTCTGTGTATTACTTAATTATTTAAAAATTTCAAGACATAAAAGTATCATCCTAATATACATACTGTTCTGCACCTTGTGGATGGCAGTATTCATGAGATACCTTTATCTGTAGATCTTCTGCCCTGGGTGGTAATGGCTTATTTGGGGTTAGTAACTAGAAGAAATTTGCATTTAGAGTTGTCATCTTATATAACAGTGAAATGCTTGTGACCAGGATAAGAACAGATAATCTAGATTAGAAAACCAATTGTAAAGCTCCTTTTGAATATAATTTTGGGTGATTTAGAGAAACATTGCTTTAAAGAAACTTAGGAACATTAATAAATGTTTTTTTGTTTTTTCTTTTTTTATAGTACATGTTTTTTATCGAAAGTTTAGAAGATAAAGAGGAATAAAAAGTCACCCATAATCTCACCACTGAGAGATAATATTGTGGCACAAAAACAAATGTTTAAAAACTAGAATTTGGCTTGCATATGATTTCATATCCTGCTTTCTTTGAAATTTTGCATTATATCGTAATCATTGTTTTGTCACTGAACAAAAACCTTTACTTTTGCTTTGGAGACAGGAAGGAAATTCTAGCAGTGAGGACTAAAAACATAATCTTATTTCGATAATAGCTCAGATACCTTGATTTTTAATGGCTGCTTTTATTATTCTATTACATGGATAAATAATAATTCTGTTTTTTTAAATTTCTATTCATTACTATAAATAATGATGTTAGAGTCTTTTTGCATACATTTTTCTGCACTAGTCTAATTACTTTCTTAGTAAGTTCTTGGAAATGAAAAAAAGAGTCTTTGTGTGTACATTTGAGGATTAAAAAAAGTTTTTTTAATGTTTACTTTTGAGAGAGAGAGAGGGAGAGACAGAGACAGAGCACAAGTGGGGTAGGGGCAGAGAGAGACCAAAACACAGAATCCAAAGTAGGCTCCAGGCTCTAGGCTGTCAGCACAGAGCCCAATGCGGGGCTTGAACTCATGAATGCTGAGATCATGACCTGAGCCAAAATCGAACACCTAACCAACGGAGCCACCCGAGCGCACCCCTCTCTTTAAAAAAAATTTTTTTTAATGTTTATTTACATTTGAGAGAGAGGGAGGCAGTGAGGATTTTGCTATATATGTCTCCAAATTACCTTCAGGAAAGTTTTCTTTAGTTTCCTTTTCCCACCTTTGTCAATATCGGTGTTACTCTTTTAAAGTTCTTTTTTTGTAATCCAGTTGACAAAAAATATTAGTTCATTGCCTTCTTGAGTGTTCATTTATTTGATTATTGGTGAGATAAGACTTTTTCATGCATTTAACTCTTGTTACTTTATGTCTTGGCCCATTTTTCTCTGAGTATGTTCATTTTTTTTAAATGCTTATTATTTACTTTTAAATGTTTGTTTATTTTTGAGAGAGAGAGAGAGCAAGCACAGGGAAGGGACAGAGAGAGAGGGAGACAGAGGATCTGAAGTGGGCTCCACATTGACAGCAGAAAGCCTGATGCAAGGCTGAAACTCACAAACTAAGAGATTGTGACCTGAGCTGAAGTCAGATACTTAGTCAACTGAGCCATTTAGGCGCCCCTATTTATTTATTTTGAGAGACAGAGAGGGAGCACAAGCAGGGGAGGGCGGAGAGAGAGAATCCCTAGCAGGCCCCATGCTGCCAACATAGAGCCCCGTGATGTGGGGCTCAATCTCACAAACTATGATATGAGATCATGACCTGAGGAGAAATCAAGAGTCAGACACCCAACCGAGTGCACCACCCAGGTGCCCCGAGAGTGTTCATTTTTTAATTTATTTGTAAGAGCTTCATATATATTAAGAGGACCAGTATTACTTCATAATTAACATTTAACTTTAGTTTATTTGGAATGTATTTTGATATATAACAAGAGGTAAAGCTCTAACTTTTTAAAATCCTTATTTAGTTAACCTGTTATCCAGAGAAGAATTAAAAAATCTTATTTTACCTTAAAAATTATAATGCCAAAAGTGGAGCACCTGGGTGGCTCAGTTGGTTAAGCATCGAACTCTTGGTTTTGGCTCAGGTCATGATCTTGTGGTTTCGTGGGTTCGAGCCCCACATTGGGCTGTACGCTGACAGGGTGGAACCTGCTTGGGATTCTTTTTCTCTTCCTCTCTCTTGGGCCTTCCCGCCCCTACTGGTGCTCTCTCTCTCCCTCAAAATAAATAAATAAACTTAAAAAAATTATAATGCAGTAAAATGGACTTTTGGGGGATGTGTATTGATTTTTTTGAGCTTATTTATTTGAGAGAGACAGTGTGAGTGGAGGAGGGGCACAGAGAGGGAGAGAGAGAAGAGAATCCCAAGCAGGCTTCGTGCTGCCAGTTTAGAGCCCAGTGCAGGGCCCAAACCCGTGAAACAGCAAGATTACGACCTGAGCCGAAACCAAGAGTTGGATGCTTAACCGACTGAGCCACCCAGGTGCTCAATAAATTTTTTTAATGTTTATTTATTCTGAGAGAGAGTAGGTGTGCATGCATGTGCTCATGCACTGGGGAAGGGAGGGACAGAGAGAACGGAGAGAGAGAATCCCAAGCAGGCTCCGACAAGGGGCTTGATCCCATATCCTCGGGATCATAATCTGAGCAGAAATCAAGAGTTGGATGCTTAACCAACTGACCTACCCAGGCACTCTTAGATTTTTTTAAAATTAATATTAAGTAATCTCTGCACCCAGTATGGGACTTAAACTCACAACCCTGAGATCAAGAGTCACATGCTCTTCTGACTGAGCTAGCCAGATGCCTCTAGATCATACTTTTGATGTCAGGTCTAAGAACTCTTTGCTTAACCCCAAATAACCGAGGTTTCTCTTAGCATTTTTGTAATTTTTTTTTTTAAATTTTTTTATTTATTTCTAGGAGAGAGAGAGAGAGAGAGCAAGCGTGAGCAGGGGAGGGTCAGAGAGAGAGGGAGTCACAGACTGAAACAGGCTCCAGGCTCTGAGCTGGCAGTCAGCACAGAGCCCGACGCGGGGCTCGAACCCACGAACCGCGAAATCATGACCCAAGCGAAAGTCGAACGCTTCACTGACTAAGCCACCCAGGCGCCCCATGTAATTTTGTTTTTTTATATTTAGATCTATGATCCAGTTAATTTTTGTATTAGGTATGACATGGTCAGGGTTCATTTTTATGTATATGGATGTTCATGCTATGTTTTTTCAATCTTGTACTAAGGAGAGTAATAAAAGCATACGGAATGAAATAGAACAGTGGTTAGTATCTTTGGTTCTCAAAACAGATGAACCTACGTCTGATCCTGGGTTCCTCTATCTGTGTAGACTTTGGCAAGTGAACCTCTCCAGATTTTTACAGCTTGCTTTGGAGAGTTGCAGGTAGAATTAAATGAGATAATGTAAAGTACTCAGCACGGTGCCTGATATATAACAAGCATGTAATAAATGGTAGCTGTTACTCCTATTTTATAGCTGTTTAGGTTAAAGTTACTTGTATTCTTTGGAGTATTAAGAAAAGATGAGGACTGTCTTTAATAGTTGTGTGCAGGGTCAATGAAAATGTTCTGGGTGAAAAAGTTTTATAAGATTCTTCCTTCCTTCTATTCCTTTTGTTTTTCTTTTCCCCGTTTTCCTTTCCTCCCCTCCTCCCTCCCCTCCCCTCCCCTCCCCTCCCCTCCCCTTCCCTTCTTCTTTTCTATTGTTCAGCTGCGTCTTCAGTGTTAGAATGTAGTGAGATGTAGATACGTAGATGTAGAAGTATTAGAATCCAAGTACTTGTGTGGGGCAGGGAGTGAGAATTGCTAAAATTGATAATTTTTTAAAATGTTTATTTATCTTTTTAATGTTTATTTAAAATATTAAAAAAATTTTTAGTGTTAGTTTTGAGAGAGAGAGCGTAAACAGAAGAGGAGCAGAGAGAGGGACACAGAATCCAAAGCAGGCTCCAGGCTCTGAACTGTCAGCACAGAGCCTAACATGGCTCGAACCTGTGAACCGTGAGATCATGATCTAAGCCAAAGTCGGACACTTAACTGACTGAGCCACCAGGAGCCCCTAAAGTTTTTTTAAAGAAGGCTAGAAAGGTGAGTAGATTCAGACTGGAAAATATGAGTACACATAATGGAATTATATAACCCATTTCTAAGTGATTAAGTTGGCATTTATGTGCTTGAATAAGGGCGCTTCTGTAAGTCAAATGCATGTAAAATTAGTACGCCATCAGAAGATCTTTTTTTCCCTTGGCGTTTCTAGCAAGATGATTTCATTCTCAGTGGAGGGTGGGGTAGGCGAACATAAGGAACACTGAAGCTTCAATGTAGGCTGGTAAATTTTGAAATTATTTACCTTGGGGCACCTGGGTGGCTCAGTCTGTTAAGTGTCTCACTTCAGTTCAGGTCATGATCCCATGGTTCATGGGTTCAAGCCCTGGGTCAGGCTCTGTGCTGACAGTTCAAAGCCTGGAGCCTGATTTGTATTCTGTGTCTCCCTGTCTCTCTCTGTCTGCGCTTCCCCCACTCACACTCTGTCTCTCTCTCTCTCTCTCAAAAATAAATATTTAAAAAAAGTTTCAAAAATAAAAACATTATTTTACCTTGTAAATACCAACTTATTAAAGCTCAGTGATTATATATTTGTTTGAAATGTTACAAATATTTGGTGTGCAACAATCAGCTTGTAATAAGTTAGTCTTTTTGTCTGTGTGTGTATGCTTTCTCACTTTTCTTGTGGGTCCTGACATGAGGTGACAGGGAATAAATATTGGAGAATGATTACTTTAACTCAACTAGAATGGGATTGGCCATTGTGACTGTCATGCTGACCTTAATCAGTTCAGAGTACTTTCTTCCTGGT